CCTCCAGACAAAAACCCGAATTCTTGCGCAACTCAATGGCCGGAACCGCTTGAGTTGTTTTAGTGCGTTGAGCTTCGGTCACATTATTACCCGTATAAAACTGAAAGCCCGGTTCAGTGGTCGAGAAAGTCAACGATATTCCCGTCAGCGGTGACCGCACCTCAACCACAGCCTCATTCACCGACTCATTGCCACTGATATTATACTTCTTGGCGTCCGTATCGATGACATAGCAATGATCGTAACCGTTGGGCAACACCTGACCGATACGCTCGCCTATTGTATGCCATTCCTGGTCGTCGCCGGTCGCGAAGTCCATCGCCGGTGTATCCGATTTGGTGGACAGTATTTTGCCCGTCGGCTGAAACGCGTCGTTAATATCCAGATAGTTGTGGACAGACATCCGTACGGTATGGTTGAGTACGTCCAGCTCTGGGCCGTCGCCGCTACAGCCGCTCAGATTGAAATACGAGTGATTTGTAAGGTTTACGATAGTGTCCACCGAGTGTTCCGCTGCGGCCAGTCTTGCCGTGTAGTCTAGCGTTAACTCATTGGCTTCGGTGACAGTGTAGGTGAGCTCTACTCTCAACTCTCCCGGATATCCCTCGTCGCCGTCGGGCGACACCAACTCCAGCGAAATTGAATCATTAGTCTTCCCGATGAGAGTCCACCGGTGTTTGTCATAGCCTTTAAGGCCGCCGTGCAGTGCGTTCGGCCCGTTGTTCAGCGCCAGTGTATACGACTGGCCATTCAGTTTAAACTTGCCGTTGGATATGCTGTTTGTATTTGAATACCATTTAAAATCATTATTAATTGAAAGTATCATTAAATACAGGATTAGTGTTTACGAACCGATTACCACATCTGCCAATAGCGGCCCCGAAGAATGGATTGCGGCCACGATTGCCGAGATAGCCCTCGAGATCGTCCCAACCGAGCACTACATCGCGCTTTTGGCCGCTTTTGTCGGTCACAAACACGTGAGTAATAGTCGCGCCGTAGTCTATGATCTTCACCTCCAAACCCCCGGTGCTATTACTGAGGGTATACTCATTGATGTTGTGATCCTTGTCGTAGACTTCAGTTTTTAGTGGCATTATTTGAACTAAAATATGAAAATATGTGAATATTAGGTAAAAATTAATTAAATTTATATTTTTATCGTAATATTCAGTAAATCTGTGGGAATATTACTAACAGAATATATCAGTTACTAAAATAATAGATTACTTATTATTATATCACCAAATGTTATGATAATATTTATGAAAACTCGATAACATGTATACTTAATGTTGTATATTCTGTGTTGTGAAGTAATCGGTAGCCTTGACTTCAAACAAATACATTATAAATGTCTATATAATGTACAAAAAACGCATAACACTAGCGTTTCGTGTACTGAAATACATAATAAGTTTATATTAAGTTATATTTAAAAATCATTAATTTCTATGTAATTTTTATTTGGATAAATAATCAATAGTTTAGCACTTGGTGTGTTTTTTATGCACTTGGTGGTTTTGCCCTTAAAATAATAGTTATTTAATTAAATAATTGTGAGTTTTTTTTAGTTCAAATGCACTTTAAATATGCAATTGTTTAGACAAATATTCATTTGATCGCTTCAATGGTTACACTGTTGTCTGTCATCGGATTTCAAGTGTACTCCCAGTCCTTCAATAGTTATCCCCAAACAATAAATACAGACAACAAATAATAAAAACTTATAAATTATTTATAGAAATAAAAACAAAATTAAATTTATTTCTCTATAATTTGCATTTTTACGGCAAATTTGTTGAAATAATTGTTATTTTGCTGTCTGTCTAATGGGTGTGTGACTGAAATTTGTTCACTAAAACTATAATACATATGATTTAATTGTGTTTTACGTGTTTTAATTACCCTAAAATTCCGTGCATTACCCGCGGGTTATCCATAGGAAAAAGTCAAATTTTTGGAAAATATTTGGGTGCGGGTTATACAAGGGGTGCGGGGTATCTACTGTAAAAATATTACAAAATTATTACTACTTAATAGTAAAAAATTTTATTCGATAAATTAATAAAATTAAAATAAATGTCGATTAAATCCTTTAAAATCAGAATCTATTTCAATTGCAGATCTAATATTCATTATTGCATGACAAAATTCACAAAACGGTTAATTCACAACTAATAAGATATGAAATCAAAACTTATTATAAAACAAACAGGTTTTAAACTACGAAATATTGAATTGTATGTAAAGGGTGTATACGATTTTTTGCCTCATTAATTAGCATTGCTTCGATGCAAGTTATATTGTAAAAACTACTATTTTAAATATAATTTTAAAAGTTTAGTTAATTTTCAAAGAATTTTAAAGAAAACGAATTGTTGATTATATAAATATAAATTATACTTAAAATTTTGCTTCGATGCAAGTTATATCGTAAAAACTACTATTTTAAATATAATTTTAAAAGTTTAGTTAATTTTCAAAGAATTTTAAAGAAAACGAATTGTTGATTATATAAATATAAATTATACTTAAAATTCTAAATAAACAGCCGGGTTTGTTAAATTCACATTACTGATACACGTGTTTAAAATGGTATACTATTTGAAATAGTTTAATTATATTTATATTTTATATTTAATTAATAAAAATAATTAATAGTTTAAGTTATAGTCTATTACAATGCTTTCATATATATTCAATAAAAACGCGATAGGGAAAATTATTGTATACACACTTTACATGCGGGTTATACATGGGGTGCGGGTTATCTATAGGTAGCATTTTTATTTTTAAAAAGAACAAAATTTTGACGTGCGGGTTATACATGGGTGCGGGTAATGCACGGAATTTTAGGGTATTACATTTTAAAACACGTTTAAGTAAAATTATATTTATTAAAACATTATTAATAGCAATTAATTATAATAATTACTCCACAGTCCGTCGCATGTCTTCGCAAACAGATTATCCAAAATATGCCATAATTTGTTTGGATTTAATTCAATTACTTTTGGCACTAAATCTCCACTTTTGTTGTCAATAAGTTTAGGCCATTTAGGGTTCGGTCGGCTATTGTTTGGACAAAATGTTTTAAAATATTAATAAAACCAATAAATACTATAAAATCACAAAAATCTAACCCATATTTAGCGAAATCTGTCCACAATTTCATTACTTGAAGACTGAATTGTGTATCAATTGGTCGGTCAGTGACTGTCGGCGCCAGAAGTGGTGAACCAAACACAAAGTCAATGTCCGCAAAGTGTGTCACACCATAAACTTTTTCATCTAAAAATGATTTGCGTTGATATGTCTGCTCATAGAAATACACACCACCGGCGCCTCCCAACTGGCCATAGGCTTTGGCGAATCTATAGGTCGGGCACGTAGTCATTAGGTCACCAAACATGTCATATTCAGCCCATTTTAGTGCATCGGAACTGTTTTTATCAATAGATTTCAGGTAGAAATCTGTCACTAGTTTTTCATCGAAATTATGGTAAAACGCGTCAATAATTGTCACAAATTCATTAAAATCCTTTTCAGTTAGATTTGGTTTCACTAAACTCTGGCTTTGAATTGAGCCCTCATTTCGCATAACACCGGCCATTATATCTAAATCTAAGTGTTTAGAAATAGCATGCTTAATTTAAAATGATCAAGCTAAATCTATTAATGATTTATTATAAGATTATAAAAATTCAAACCTTTATTAAATAACTTATTTTCAAACATATTCTGTGCATTCATTGGTAGAAATTCAGTGTCCGATAGGGCAGAAAGTTGGCGTCTGGTGTCGTACCCGTCCATCAGCTCCTGGGCCTCAAAACCGCGCAAACACTCCAACCAATTGTCCTCTTCTTCTTCACTACAATTCATATTTTTGGCCAATTGTTTGCTAACGAGTAATGCCTCGGACTTTACCATAGGATACCTGTGCTTATTGTAAAACAGTGCCCCGCTTTGCA